ATTAGTTAAGAGATTTGATTCCCTTGAGAAAAATTGCCATTTATTGTACCTGATATCCAAAATAATCGATATTGAATCGTAATCGAAATCGAATCAAATTGCAAGCTTGTGAATCAAAATCGAATCGAATTGTGAAATTTGTCACTACTAATCACTCCGCCCAAGTAGCAGTGCTTCGCCTACTGAGAATATAGTTCCCAATATTTATAGGGTTAAAAGATGGCTGTGTCTCATATGAACTTGTTATTTTTACACACTGTGACTATACAAATCACAACATGTAAGTAGGAAAATGTTTGCGTTATTTTGTCACTTATTTGGGATTAATATGCTAGCTGTAGCCATTTACATCCAGTCTTTGTGCTAAGCTAGGCTAGCGGTGGGTGGGTCAGACAGACGGAGATTCAAAAGGTTTGTATGGACTTATCTAACTCTGCGGGATACGGTGAATAAGCTAAAGTCGGCGTGTTCCTTTAAAGCTCGTCACATTCACCACTGCAGATCTTCTTATTTTAGTCTCCAATCAATCTCTGGCTGCTAACTGGCTTTTCTGTCTTAGGCATTGATTTCTCCGGTCATGTTATAAGCAGTCGGACTGACACAAACTGACATTCTCTGGTCTCTCCCGCCTGTCGTCCTGAAGAATGCCAGATTTGACCTTCAGTGTTACATCACCTGTCAATCACATGAGCCCTGTGGCCTGTGCGGACTGACATGACCGATGTGGAGGAAACACACTGATGTCTGTACCAAATAAATATATATATATATATATATATATATATATATATATATATATATATATATATACATACAGAATTTAAGAGCAAATAATTCTTAGGTAGGGTAGGTATTTATATATACAAAATAATTATATACAGCACACACAAATATATTATGTAAACATAGATAAATAAACATAGACTTTTATTTTGGATGCGATTAATCGAAATAAATTTTTGCACAGCCCTAATATATATATATATATATATATATATATATATATATATATATATATATAAATATATATAAACTGTATATAAATGCAACTAGCGGAATGAAATAACTTTGTTTATATGTTTACGAACTTGTTTTATCAAACTAGTTGACATTTCATTTAGTTTCGTGAAGTACTAAAATATCTAAAACAAAAAATGTATAAACAAGATATAGATGTTTAAGAAAAACTAATAAAAGTGACAAAACACACAAGCTCACACAATTACTGGAAAATAAACTTTAATTATAAGATAATGGAAATTCTAAAAATAAAAATTAATTAAAATGAACTAGAGCACGACCGATAAAGGATTTTGAAGGCCGATACCGATACAAATATTTTTTTGGTTTTAAAATCCGATATTTTTTTATTTATTTATTTATTTATTTTCAGAAACGCACAACAAAACATTAACAGATTTCCCTAACATAGTTATTTGTAGTTATTTATGAGTTTTAACTGAAATAATATGATAAAGCATTTAAAAAAGAAACTTGTTTCTTTTATTGTCCCAACAGAACAGAAAACATCAAAATATATTAAAGTTCTGATAAATAAAATAATAATTAGTCCCTACATTGCCTTATAAGCTACCTTATAATTACAATGTCAGGTTAGCTAGTCTATAATGAGCCATAATTTAGCAATAACGTCATACTGAAAATTGTAAAACATAGATTTTCAATTGTATTCAAAGCGTGTTTCGTCCGTTTTTAGTTTAGTTTCTTAAATATTCATTTATCGGCCATGATAAGTGCCGATACCGATAGTTTGGAAAATGTCTAATATCGGCCGATAATATCGGTCTGCCTCTAAAAAGAACTATAATAGCATATCGATGAACATTGGTCTGTGTGTTTAAATCTGTTTTATTTCGAAAAAGCAAGAAAATGAGATCTTTAAAATATTAATTATTGTATTTATTCAAGTGTGACATTTCTATCTAACTAACAGGGGTTTTGTATAAAATGGTATCTGTATTATTTCTAAGCAGCGTGTTAATAATATCATTGAAGATTAAAGCACACACTGTGTTAATGTGATGATGTGTAAACACTGAATTAAATCAGTCTGCCTGATGGGTTATTGTTTACCCCTGATGATTGTGCGATTATCACACACTCCGTCTCTCTCTCTCAGTGTGCTATATTTGCATATCTCTGCTTTGTGAGGTTAAGAGGGCAAATGATAGGTGAGAGGGGATTTTTAACAGTTATATAATGTTGCATATAGTTTTACGTGTGCTGCTTATCCCATCTGGTGTGCATGGTGTGACCTCAAGGATGCGGCTCGTTTGCATTTGTGCTAAAAACAAACAAGCCAATTAGAGCTGAAACGATGGTTTGCCGTGTGAAGCCGGTAATTAAGGGGAAATGGGCGTGGCCTGTAGACAGAGAGTTACACAGTTACCATGACAACAGAACCCGAGTGCATCCAAGAGAGTTTGTGAAGCCCATCCATAGACATATACACTAGACGTCACCTTGGATACGGCAGTTCAATGGAACGAATGCGTCAATAGAGCCGCCATCTTGAAACAGGGGAGCCCCTCCACTTTAATGCATCAGCGTCAATGTAGTAGACACAGGTCTAACGCAAATAAAATCACCATAAATCATCATGAATGCGATTTTTCTTGTTTTTTTGGTTTGTTCCAACAGTCAGACATGTATTTATCATTGATTCCAGAAAGAAAAAAAAAAATTTTTTTTTTTTTTTTTTTAAAAACATTCTTCCTAGTTCAGATTTCATCCGTGAACTTCGTACGCTGCACAAAAGTCCGCCACCATTAATGAATTCGACGTAAAGGCAGAGATAGCAGCGTTACCTAGCTACTTCCTATGACAAGACCCCTGTTCCAAGATGGCGGCGGTTTTGACGCATGCTTAGAACCCCCAGGTGAGGTCTAGTGTATGTATATGTCTATGAAGCCCATCAATGAGAGAGAGAGAGAAGAAAAGACTAACATAGAATTATACAGATTGAATTGAATTGTTTATTGATCCAACAATCAGCCATTCTCATATTCATATGAGTGCTGTTCATCCTGTGGTCAAAAATCACTATTACATATCAATTTTTTACAAAATAAACATACATTCATGCAACAAACTAACCATAAACCATACAACAAACATCCATAAACAAAAACATTTAGTAGAAGATGAACTGAAAAATATTCCTTAATTTAAGTTGGTTAAATTTTAAATCAACATCATGAACTAAGAGCCCACTTATACTTAGGTCACAATCTTTCACTTACATAACACATTCTTTAACAAAACAGAAAAAAATAAATAAAAAATAAAAAATCATATACAAACTTGAGTAAATAAATACAATTTCGAGATATAAACCCCTTCTGTGGGGCAAAAAATAGCTATTCTTATATTGACATTCACTTTTTTGCTCACCATTCACTGTGGCTAGTGGTTTTCCAAAGTTACTGGCCACTCAGTATTTTTTAAATTATAGATATTTTTAATATTATCTCATAATTTGGCTGCAGGGCTATTAGGGTGCTGTCACTTTAAGACCTGACACACAGATCAATTACTGTTAAAAGTGTGTTTTCTTTCTCAACTGTTTCAACTGACTGTGTTTATGTGTCTTGAATTCTCACCAAGACCGGCATTTTGACATTATTTAGTGTATTTGACTGTTTAAGTGCAATATGAAGAGAAAAATAACTCGGCGGCTTTATGTGCGTTCAGTACTCACCGAAATTCAAGCTGGAGCAAAGGATATGAGTGAGTGAAGAGAGGCGGGTTTGTGTGTCACTCACACGAAAGAGCATATAGAGAGAAAATTAATATTGAAATCAGTCCAGATATTTCTATATATGTATATGTAAGTCCCCCGTAGTCAATAATTTCATCACTTCAAACTCATCTTTTGATCATCAAAATCACATATTTACGTTTTTTTTCCTTCATGTCTTTAAATATCTCGAATGTAACTCGACACCCTTGCCTCATTTAGTATGCGCGGTCCTATGAATATGCAAATGAGCCCCGCCTCCACTCGGTTGACGATCACACGTTGATCTGATTGGTTACAAGGTCGTTTGTGACGTCAGAAACACCAGCGATTTCTTTTGTTTTAAGCAGAAAATTACTCGACTCATGAACTTACACATGGTTTGTCTTAAAGCGTATAAGGAAAAACACCACGTAGACGCATAAACAACATTAACAGCTGGATTTTCACCACTTTAAAAGACTACAATTGAAAAATGTATATATGTAAAATTAAATTATACTAGTGTGTCTAGTAGGAGAGACTGAAATGTCCTTGAGTCTGTGAATTGACTTTCACACACACATTTTTTCGATTCTTTCTCTCTTTGTGTGTGTGTGTGTGTGTGTGTGTGTATATATATATATATATGGTGATGTGGTTGATGTGGGATAGTCACAGTCTCAGTGGTGTGTGTGTGTGTGTATTAGAACGAGCTGTTCTCTGAAAGCCATTACAGGCCTGAACGAGCACACACATGTGTGTGTGTGTGTGTGTGTGTGTGTGTGTAATAAAGAGAGGCTCTAGAGAGAGCTGAACTAAATGATAGTATTGTGTTTTCACCATAACGTCTGCTTGATCCGCACACACACATCCATTGACCAAACGGGAGAATCCGAAACTCATGATGCCATAATACTACTAATAATACATTCATTTTACAGTGCAACTTTAAAAAAAACACAATATTAGTATTCTTCATTTTAAAATGTTGCATCGTTGGGGTCAAAAAAACTTCTAATCTTTTCTATTCCATACACTAAGCTAATCACGGTTTGATTTGGATTAATTACACACACCTGAAACAGTTAGTGATGATGTGTAAGTGAAGTGTCAGTATTATTATCGCTCATATTAGTGTTGGATATTAAACAGTTTTGCAGCAGGTGTGTGTGTGTGTGTGCTTTATTATCACAGACAGATTGTGATGGATCACCTCCACAGCAGCCGTGACAGCAGTGTGTGTGTGTGTGTGTTGCAGAGGACGACAGATGCAGTTGTCTTCACGGAGGGACGTGTCTTCCTCACGGAGAGGCTTTCCGCTGCTTCTGTCCGCAGGGATACGCAGGAGAGAGCTGTGAGATCGGTGAGACTTTCACCCAGACATGAACATGGCGAGCTTAGACCAGCTCCATAAACACATCATTACAGTAGTGACAGTTACTGTTATAGAATCTTCCTCACACTGGAATGTTTCCTTTTAAATGTTTTAGTCTGGCATTTTTTAGAATGTTCAGAGAAAATTCAAATGTAACAGTTTCGGAATGTTTGAAGAATGATAGAATGTTCCCTTGATGTCTTTTAAACGTTTCAAAAATGTGAGAGAATGTGAGGAATACACAAGACACAATTTTAGTCTGTTCCAAATGCAGAAGACTTCACATATAGCCTGTCGTGATGCTGTAATGCGCTTTTTATGTCTTTCTGGAGATAATAACTAGCAGTATAAACATCATTTTTGGGTGAATTATCCAAATGTGTTATTGATTTTTACAGTTTTTAACTGATGAACCATATACAGTCTGTCCTTTACATTTTGTGTTCTTAATCCTGACTGTTATTTAAAAAAAAAGTAAGAGCTTCCAGTTCATCCTAATCAGTGTTGGGTAAGTTACTCTAAAAAAGTAATTAATTACTAGTTACTAATTACCTCTTCAACAGTGTAATTAGATAACTTTACAAATAACTCTCTTTAAAAAGTATTTAATTACTTTTAATTACTAATTACTTTTCAAAATCCCATATCAATCTCAACCAGCTGAATAATACAAGGATAGACATGAATCTGTTTTAATTCTTTCACATAAATACTATAATTGCATTAATTATCCTTAAACAGACCAAGGTGGAGAAGGTTACATTATAAAAACATACTTTTTAGCATCAGACAATATATTTTGATGTTAAACCCACTATTGTTTTATGTCTGATCTCATGACATTTCACACCTTTTCCATACATATTTTACAATAATTCAGACGAATTTGTACGAGGGCGGTTGTACAATTTAGACACCTCATAAAACGCATACGAATTGCTGTGAGATCAGATTGATCTATACACAGTATTTATTTACCTCAATTACAACTAATTAAATTACAGATAAATGAAGAGTAATCCCTTACTTTATATTTTCAATAGAAAAGTAATTAAATTACAGTAACTAATTACTTAGTAATTAGTTACACCCAACACTGATCCTAATGTACCATTCCCTACACACACACACACACACAGTGCCAAGACCCCACGCTTCACTGTAAGATATCACCAAACGTTCACATTATTTAAATGATTTACAGGCCTAAAATTGCTCTTTGTATGTTAGATATTTTATATCTACAAAATGATTTAAAAGGTATGAAGTCATTAGAAAACTTATGAAATGAAATTATTATCAAAATGTGTGGATATCCTGAATCTATTTGACCACAAGATTAATTGCCGCCCCTAATTGGCTGTATAATTTTGGAGCTTCAGACTTTTTTGCATGCTATTACCGTAAAATTTGCATGAATACCTAGAGGAAAATATTCGACTCTGTCTCAGATGTTTCTCCTTAAATTTAAGAAATATAAATATTTTAGTTAGTTAGTTATTTAAAAAAATATATTTTTTAATTATTAGCTTTCGTTTTTATATTTTCAGCTTTTAATTCAAGTTTAGTCATTTTTTATGTGTGTTTTTTTTTTTTCAATTTGATTCGTTTTTTATTTTAAATATTTGAAAATATTTGTTTGTACTTTAATTTCTAATTTTCATTTCAAGTTTTTAAACGTTTTATCTAATATTTATATTTGAGTTATCATTAGCCATTTCAATTTCCAAAAATAACTAAATTTTTTTAAACTTAAACTTAATAATTTAAGGTTAAAAAAATAATAACCGGTGAGAGTTTAATACTATAAACTGAATATGGATCAGCTCAGATCATTTGATGAGAAATGTTTCATATTGAGATCTTTTGACTTTGATTTCAGATCACATGTTGTCAAATCTGAGGCGTTTGAGACATCGCCTCAGGTCATGTAGTCCATCATTTGAGACACAAAGGCGTGCTTTTGAGGGGTCAGAGGTCAAGGGAAGGCTGACAGGTTTATTTCGAGCTCATCTTTACAGCAGTGTGTTCTGAGATGAAGGTCAATGCTAATTCAGTTTTTTCTGCGTTAGATGAGTGTGTTAGGTGTCGTTTTGATATGGTTCATCCAAACCCGAATGACAGACAGCTTTTACATGTTTGGATGTTCATGGCAGTGATTTGATTGGTTCTCCCTGAGCTGGCTGTACTGTGTGTGTGCAGTATTCTGCTGTTAATCTGCGCAGGATTTGTTTCTGTGAGCAGAAGACATCAACACTTCAGATGCTCACAGGCTTCAGCTCTTGGGCGTTTGCATAATGGATGAGCCAGTTCAAATATTCATGAAGAGCAGAAGTACCTTGAGTCTTTAAGACGCGGGATATGACTTCAGTAGAGGCTTTTCCTTTCTACTGACGAAGATCAACATGGAAATCAAGATCACCCACTGTTCACGTATTTAATGTTGTGTTTAAGGGGGAATTCACCTCTATTTAGGTATGTAGCACTGCATAAGTGTGTAGGGCTGTCGATTTAACATGTTAATTTAATTCATTACTTATGGGAAAGTAATGCATTTAAAATTATTACCGCATTTAACACACCTACACCCGACAGGTCTTACATTTCATCCAGCTGATGGTGATGGCAACATAAAATTCAAGATATCAGGGCAAAAATGGCCCTGTGTGAGTTTTTGTTTGTATATCGTGATATAGTTGATCAATATCACACTACCAACAGCTGCAGTATGACACGAATGCTGGTGTTGTCTCAAATAGCACGAGTGCAAATGAGATATTGATTTTATACAACAGTTCAATAAATAAGAAGTTAACATTGTGTTATATTTTAGACACAAAATGATCTGCTTTTGCTCATTTTTGCCAGCGAAAATATTATCTGTAAAGCCGGAGCAGAACTGTTGTGCTTCGTTTCTGAACGAATCAGCGTTTCGAGTGAACCAAAGATTCAATGACTTGTTCATAAGGAGCCATTTACTTCATTCCTGAATGAATCAGTCGTTTGAACAAATCGAATGAATGAATGACTCGCTTACTTTTTTGACATTTACCGCCACACACTGGCAGTTTTAGTTTCTGTTCCTTATTAATAAAGTCATATGTCCATATTAATAAAGAAAATATTAAAGGTAAAGTTATATTTTTCACCCAAAAATGAAAATTTTGTTATCATTAACTCACCCCCATGACCGTTGAAGCCTAAAAGTTTGATGCTTTTCTTATTTAACACAATAATGACTTTAAATGATCTTTTGGGGGTAATTTCCCAGTCAAATTTGATGTGCGATTAATTTGATTAATTATTCACCATATATATATATATATATATTAGAGCTGTGCAAAAATTAATTGCGATTAATCGCATCCAAAATAAAAGTCTGTGTTTACATAATATATTAGTGTGTGCTGTATGTAATTATTTTGTATATATAAATACACACACATGCATGTATATATTTAAGACAATGTGTTATTCATATATAAAATATTTATATTTATATAATATAGATTATGTATTTATATATATATATATATATATACAGAATTTAAGCGCAAATAATTCTTAAATATATACATGCATGCATAGGTATTTATATATACAAAATAATTATATACAGCGCACACTAATATATTATGTAAACACAGACTTTTATTTTGGATGCGATTAATTGCAATTAATTTTTGCACAGCCCATATATATATATATATACACTTAAACAGAAACACACAGACACATATATCTATATATATATATATATATATATATATATATATATACCCACACACACTTAAATATATACAGTACAGTACTGTTTTGTGAAAAGAAAGGAGTACTACATTTCTTTGCATTGACAGTAATTATATGACATTTTTTCCCATTTTAAGTTTATTTTATTATACATTTTGTCATTCTTTTGTAATTCCTGTTTGCCTCACTGACTCTATATTCTCATATGATGGTTACAAATTACCTTATTGCAGTAAAAGTACTTCATATAATATTAATCAAATACATGGATCCATTTTGTATGTAATATAAATCAAAGGCAGTTCAACAAATACTCCCCTAATACATTTAAATGTAAAAATATATGTATATATATCATTTTTACATTAATGAGAATTTATGGAGGAATGCTTAATCATCATGAAAATAATATCTCTATTAACTTTGATTTAATTGCATGATGAAATATGTTCTTGAGAGGCTTTATGGCATTCGGCTCATTCAAGTTTTCATCAGGATCCATGAAATGTTGTGATGAACCGTCACGCATTAAGTTGCTTAAAACTCCGAATACAGCCTTCCCATGATCCTCTGCTCGTGTGATATCCACTTAAAGCCTGAGGAGTTCGCGAGTCTGACTGAAGCCGCAGACGTTTGCGACTGATGCCGTTACACAAACTTTTAAGACTTTCAACTTCATCCTGTCAAGCTCCTTTGATTTCAACTTTTTTGCAAGCCTGACAAACGTTGAGCCTCAGAAGTGTTTGCTATATTGGGAAATGTCTGCATTAATGTCCTATAAACAGTCTGTGGATGTTATGGAGAGTAATCCGTGAGCTTTAAAGCGCTTACACAGGCCTGCGACAGACGCTAAACGACTCTTAACTCGAGTCACGCTATCCTCCAGTTTCAGTCCTACTCCATCTGTGAGGAAAGGGGCGGGGCATTACGGTTTGACCTGCACGATGCGTTTTAGGGGATTTTTTTTTCTTTCTATCAAATACATTTTAGGACACATATGCTCATCGATTTTTGTGAAGTTGTGACTTTTTGGGGGGGATTTAGGGGCTTTTGACTGAATTTTGCCACAGACCACTATCTAAATGACCCTGTTACAGCCAAGCAAATGCAAAATTTCAACTTTTTTTCGATAATTATTTATCTAGAGAGTCCAGAGAATAGGCCTAGACTGGTTTGGTCCCGATCGGGCAAAAAACCAGGGACTAGTTCGCAAAAGTGGGTTTTGGACAAAAACCGAAATAAAAATTTTTTTTTGGCCCCAAGTGGAAATCTGAGATATACATCTTGTCCGTCTTGAGCCAGGGATTACAGAGGTGTGAAAACATTGAAGCTAAGTCAAACGGTCTAGGAGTTATGAGCAATTTAGTACTTTCGGTTGCTGTAGCACCACCTATGGGCCAATCGGGCTCATACTCTGATAGGTTCTCTGAGATGTGTGGTGGTTTGTAGGACAGCGATATCCTACTTTTTGAAATCGCTGGTGTTTCTGACGTCACAAACGGCCTTGTAACCAATCAGATCAACGTGTGATCGTCAACCAGTGGATCTCTGAGTGAGTGAGTGAGTGGAGGCGGGGCTCATTTGCATATTCATAGAACCACGCATACTAAATGAGTCCAGACGAGACTCAGAAACGTCTCTGACCTGCTGTTGTTTAATGAATCGTCTGAACATGGATCATATGATGCCTGAGGGTGTGTGTGTGTGTGTGTGTGTGTGTGTGTGTGTGTGGGCGCTTGATCCCAAAATGATCCTTTTCTCCTGGTTTTAATGAAACCTGACAGCACTGCTTGCTTCTGTAAATGTTTTGCCACGCTGTTCACACACACTGACAGTTTATTACTATGAATGAGTGTAAAATTATGTAAATGTGCTGCGCTTGGATGATTCGATTATAGGTGTAATTAATATCTCTGTGATCACTCAAGATATGAGGTTTAAAGAACACCTGTTGCATACGTAATACTCACGTTTAGCCTCTGCTTGAAATAAATTAATAGTTTTATTCAGCCAGGACGCATTAAATTGATCAAAAAGTTACAGTAAAGACATTTATACTGTTAGAAAAGATTCTATTTAAATAAACACTGTTGTTTTGATCTTTCTATTCAACAAAGAATCCTGAAAAATAAAATGTATCACGCTTTCCACAAAAATATGAAGCATTTATAATAATCATAAATGTTTCTTGATCATCAGATCGTCATATTAGAGTGATTTCTGAAGGATCATGTGACACCGAAGACTGCTGAAAATACACAGGAATAAATTACACTTTATTATATATTAACATAGAAAACAGGTATTTTAAATTAGAATAATATTTCACATGTTTACTGTATTTTTGATCGAATAAAAGCATCTCGGTGAGCAGACGAGACTTAACATATTACAGACTCAAAACATTTAAATGGTAGTGTAACTATTCATAGTAAACATAGTAATAATTTCACACACACAATCTTATTCTATTGTTTTTCTGTTAATTCGTTTTTTATAATTACATTAGAAAAGCAGATTAAAGAATTAGCATATTAGCAATTAATCACTAATCTCTAATCTGACCCGACAGTCCGTGATCATTATGTGTAATTAAAACATCCTGCAGCACATATATGAATATGTAATATAATATGATGTTATAGAGTGATAAAGAGGAATCTATGACTTTCCCTAGTGTGTGTGTACAGGTGAAACTGGAAAAATGACAATATGGTGCAAAAGTTTATTTATTTCATTTATTTCAACTTAAAAGGTGAAACTAATATATTATATAGACTCATTACATATTTTTGTCATAATTTTGATGATTTTGGCTTACATATATGAAAACCTTTTCACAATATTCTAATTTTGAATTTGGCGTTTTCATATCTGTAATCCATAATCATCAAAAATTATAAGAAATAAAGGCTTGAAATATGTAATGAGTATATTAGTTTCAAATTTTAAGTTGAATTACTGAAATAAATAAATTTTTGCACGATATTTTTCAAGTTTCACCTGTATACACACACACACACACACACACACAGAAAGATTTAGAGAAAAACAGCTTCAGTCTGTTCCTCACACAAAAAATATATATATGTGGGTGTCAACATGTACACACACACACACACACACACACACACACACGTGTATAATTTATTTCTACCAGGGAAAAAGCATCTGAGACAAAGTTAATATTTGAACAGAAGATCTGGGAAGTGTGTATGGTGTGTGTGATGGTTTCTGATGTTCCTGCAGATGTTGACGACTGTCAGTCGAATCCCTGTGAGAACGGCGGCACCTGCATCGATAAAGAAGACTCGTTTGTGTGTGTGTGTTTGCCGAGCTACAGCGGAGACCGGTGTGAGAGAGGTGAGATCATGTGCTCATAACATGCAACGACTCATCTTACACTCGCATTAAACACAGCTCTCAGATTACAGCCCATCCTGAGGTGTGCGGCGGTGTGTGTGTGTGTATCTCTGATGAAATCCCTGCCTCTGTGATGCTCCTAAGGAGTGTGTGTGTGTGTGTGTGTGTGTGTTTAAATCTGAATGAAGACCACCAGGGAGGATCAGGCAAAGACTCAAGTGCAGAACAATGGTTATTTATTTCAATATAAAATTAAACAAAAACAAATTAAAAGTCCCCCATATTAAAACTCCTGATCCGACTGAACCACACACCAGTGTTGGGTGTAACTAATTACTAAGTAATTAGTAAGACACCTCGAATCTACTAATTACTAAGTAATTAGTTACTGTAATTTAATTACTTTTCCCTTGAAAATGTAAAGTAAGGGATTACTCTTCATTTATCTGTAATTTAATTAGTTGTAATTGAGGTAAATACTGCGTATAGATCAATCCGATCTCACAGCGATTCGAGGTGTCTAAATATTACGACCGCACTCGTATAAATTCGTATGAATTATTGTAAAATATGTATGAAAAAAGTGTGAAATGTCATGAGATCAGACATAAAACAATAGTGGGTTTAACATCAAAATGTATCGTCTGATGCTAAAAAGTATGTATTTATAATGTAACCTTCTCCACCTTGGTCTGTTTAAGGATAATTAATGCAATTATAGTATTTATGTGAAAGAATTAAAACAGATTCATGTCTATCCTTGTATTATTCAGCTGGTTGAGATTGATATGGCATTTTTAAAGTAATTAAAAGTAATTAAATACTTTTTAGAGAGAGTAATTAGTACAGTAATCTAATTACACTGTTGAAGAGGTAATTAGTAACTACTTTTTTAGAGTAACTTACCCAACACTGCCACACACACACACACACACGACAGGAAGACTGGGATTATTCAGAACACAGGGAGAATAAATAGAGGTTTTCACACACACTGCTCTGCACTAACTCTGAGTGTGTGTGTGTGTGTGTGTGTGCAGACACCGAGGGCTGTGAACACGGCTGGAAGAAGTTTCACGGCCACTGTTACCGTGTGTTCCCGCGCAGACACACCTGGGAGGACGCGGAGAAGGACTGTCGGGAACACAGCGGTCACCTGACCAGCATCACTTCCTCTCTGGAGCTCGACTTCCTCAACGGTGCGTCACTGCTTTCCCATCGGACACGATACGGGCGTCGTGGGCTATTAGGCATCATGAGTCTAGGATTTCACTTTTCTATAGAAGCTTGTTTTTTCCCCACAGAATAAAGAATAAAAAGTTGTGAGTTGAAGAAAAGCTAATTAAATAAAAAAAAAAATCTATGTCATGTGACCATTAACATACATCAGAGAGCTGTTAATATGCAAATGTGTCTCAGAAAGAAGTGCATATTTTAGCTTGTGAATCGCTGGCGGAGAGATTGACGCGGGATCATGTTTCAGGTCTGGGTCATGAAAACGTTTGGATCGGTCTGAATGATCGGACAGTGGAAGAGGATTTCCAGTGGACTGATGGAACGGACGTTGTGAGTCTTTTATAATATATATTTATTAATCCAAAATTAAGCATAACTTATACCCGTAGAGTCTGTTCAGCTCTTGTGAATGAGATCAAACTCTCAGATCACATTAGGTGTGTTTGCTTGCACTCATATATGCCAGAAGAGCTTTTTAATCACATATTTAGTAATATTTCGTCTCCTTCACTAGCTAGTTCATAAGACATGATAGGTAAATAAATACACATACTCACATTCACATTATTTGAGCTGAGCTGAGTGTTTACATGAAGGCTTTTATTGAGCCATCATTACAATTATAAACAGATTATTTTAACGTGCATGTAAACATAGCTGCTGTTTCACACACTGGCTGCATGTATTTACATGGACTGCAATAATCTGGCAGTTCTTATACGACAATAAATATGTGTTATTTATTCGTTTCAGATTTCAGTGCATGTTCTTACTCCAAATTTTGAGCTTGTAATTGTAAAGTAAGCTATAAAAATATAAGGAAAATATTTTAAATATGAGGGATGAACAAAACACTAAACTTGGTTATGGTATTTATTACCAATAATAAATATTACCAATAATAAATAAACAAATAATAAATATTTTTGCCAATTAATTTATTACAAATTAATTGGCAAAAAAGAGGCAAACTAAAGCTACAGGTAATAAATACCATAACCAAGTTTAGTGTTTTGTTCGTCCTTCATATTTAAAATATTTTCATTATATTTTTATGGTTTATTTAACTATGGTTTATTTTACTTTTAAATTTTTTCGTTATATTTTCATGGGTTATTTTACTTTAAATATTTTCGTTATATTTTCATGGTTTATTCTACTTTAAATATTTTCCTTATATTTCCATGGTTTATTTTACTTTTAATATTTTCCTTATATTTTCATGGTTTATTTTACATTACATTTTTTCGTTATATTTCATGGTTTATTTTACTTAAAATATTTTCCTTATATTTTCATGGTTTATTTTACTTTAAACATTTTCCTTATATTTTCATGGTTTATTTTACTTTAAATATTTTCCGTATATTTTTTATGGTTTATTTTACTTTAAATATTTTCCTTATATTTTCATGGTTTATTTTACTTTAAATATTTTCCTTATATTTTTATGGTTTATTTTAGTTTAAATATTTTCCTTACATTTTCATGGTTTATTTGACTATTTTACTATTATTTTACTATGCAGAAAAAAAATCAGTTATTAATATTTGGCTGGTTCTCTCTTTGTTTTGCATGTGTTCATAATTTCGTTGTATGACAGCATGTTGCACTGTTTGCCATGTTTCATTGCGTTATTATCACAAATAAAACAATTGATTCTGATCACAATGCAAAATGCTTAAAAATCTTTACCACATTTTCTATAATATGTGAATAAAGGGTGAAGATTTTAGTTTTCATCACTTTTGCCTATTATACAAATTTTAATTACATAGTTTCTATGCAATTTGACTGAAATCAGCACTTTGAAAACCACCAGAGAGTCAGGTGATAAATACGACATATGAAATGCATTAGAAATTCTAAAGTTTAAATGAGTAGCTCACTTTAAAAAAACTTTTGCTGATAATTTACTCACCCCCATGTCATCCAAGATGTCCATGTCTTTCTTTCTTCAGTCGAAAAGAAATTAAGGTTTTAGATGAAAACATTCCAGGATTTTCTCCATATAATGGACTTCAATGGGGTCCAAACGGTTCAAGGTCCAAAAGACAGTTTCAGTGCAGCTTTAAACGACACCAGACGATGAATAAGGGTCTTAACTAGCAAAACGAGCGCTCATTTAGTTTGTTGAATGAACCAAATGACTCGAAAAAAGATTCGTTCATTTTGACGAACGAGTTCGAACAGGAGAGTCACGAACGTGCAGAGCAAGGCGAGCATTTAAGCTTATAAAACTTAAACTTTTTTATTTATTTTTGAAATGACCGCTCATTTCACTAGATAAGACCCTTATTCATCGTCTGGAATCATTTAAAGCCCTTTGAAGCTGCACTGAAACTCTCATTTGGACCTTGAACCGTTTGGACCCCATTGAAGTCCATTATATGGAGAAAAATCCTGGAATGTTTTCATCAAAAACCGACTGAAGAAAGAAAGACATGGACATCATGGATGACATGGGGGCGAGTAAATTATCAGCAAAAGTTTTTTTAAAAGTGAAGACTGTAAGCCGTCTGGTAGTTTAGCATGAGTCTGACTGTGTCGCAGGTGTTCGAGAACTGGCGGGAGAATCAGCCGGATAACTTCTTCGCGGGCGGAGAGGATTGTGTGGTGATGATCACTCGAGAGGACGGCAAATGGAACGATGTTCCCTGCAACTACAACCTACCCTACATCTGCAAGAAAGGCTCAGGTGAGAGAGAGACTCCTCAAAACACTGATCGTGACTTCGTACCCGTGCAAAGCGGACTTTTCCCTCCACAGAAGCACACTTTTGCTCTCGAGTCTCGACAGTAAAGCAGATTAAGTGTGTATCGATGCGTCTATTGATTCCTCAATAAGAGTCTCAAACACTAATACAGTGTAAAGTCAATGTGTTGTTTAGTTCTCCGGTCGCTGGCGTTCTGCACCTGCATTTCAATGACTGCCATCTGATCTGAATGAGAGCCGCAAAACCCCGTCTTTCACTCCTCAAAACAAGGACGTCTCAGTTTCTTGGGCCGAGTTTTCAAACCCCATTGAGAAGGTCTCAGATTGTCGATTTAAGCTCTGGGCTCTACACTACAATTCCCACGATGCTGTCTTTTGTGGCATCTCCAGGATCCAGGCGTTGCTGACGCCAGAGAGCAGATTTACTGCTGAGCCGTGGCTTTCTGCCGACGGAAATAAAGCTCATTGTCTGCAGACGCAGCGCTGGTGCCAGGACTTCATTTCATTTATTTTAAAAGGTTAACATTTATAAAAAAAACAAACAATCAGATTTTCCCCGTCTGAAACCTGACATTTTCAGAATAGTGCTCAATAAATAAAGATTTTCAACTTTAACAAAAAAAAAAAAAAAAAAAAAAATGTGGAGCCAAAAACTACAATAGAGGTTTTCTGTTTATTTGCATGAATCTTTAGTGTTTTTTATAGTGCCTATTTTTGGCGAATTGCATGGAAACCATTGGGGGTCAATTTGACCTGTGACCTGTACTCATATTTTTAGCACTGTGGACTGTCAGTCCAGTTATGTTTCCATGTTTTACGCGTGTCTATGATAATGTGTATAATGTGTTGTGTTTGCAGTGATGTGTGGGACTCCTCCGGCCGTCGACAACGCCTCTCTGGTGGGCCGGCGCCGCTCACACTACGACCTCCACGCTGTGGTGCGATACCAGTGCGCCAACGGCTTCTTCCAGCGCCACATTCCCACCGTCCGCTGCCGGCCCAGTGGAGTCTGGGAGAGACCCAAGATCATCTGTACTAAATGTGAGTCGGAATAGATATTTGCTGCTTTTGATGAGCTTGTGCCTTAAAGGGATAGTTCACCCAAAAATGAAAATTAGCCCATGATTTATTCATCCTGAAGCCATCCTAGGTGTACATGACTTTCTTCTTTCAGACGAACACAATCATAGTTATATATATATATATATATATATATATAAAAATCTGGCTCTTCCAAGCAGTGAATTGTCTATGTAAGTCCATCAAACCGCATCAAATCCATCATAAAAGTGAATCTGTCCATCATAAAAGTGCATCTATCATCATAAAGGTGCATCTGTCCATCATAAAAGTTCATCTGTCCATCATAAAAGTGCATCTATCCATCATAAAAGTGCATCTGTCCATCATAAAAGTGCATCTGTCCATCATAAAAGTTCGTCTGTCCATCATAAAAGTGCGTCTATCCATCATAAAAGTCCGTCTATCCATCATAAAAGTGCATCTGTCCATCATAAAAGTGCATCTGTCCATCATAAAAGTTCATCTGTCCATCATAAAAGTGCATCTATCCATCATAAAAGTGCATCTGTCCATCATAAAAGTGCATCTGTCCATCATAAAAGTTCGTCTGTCCATCATAAAAGTGCGTCTATCCATCATAAAAGTCCGTCTATCCATCATAAAAGTGCATCTGTCCATCATAAAAGTGCATCTGTCCATCATAAAAGTGCATCTCTCCATCATAAAAGTTCATCTGTCCATCATAAAAGTGCGTCTGTCCATCAAAAAAGTGCATCTGTCCATCATAAAAGTCCATCTGTCCATCATAAAAGTGCGTCTATCCATCATAAAAGTCCATCTGTCCATCATAAAAGTGCATCTGTCATCATAAAAGTTCATCTGTCCATCATAAAAGTGCGTCTATCCATCATAAAAGTGCATCTCTCCATCATAAAAGTTCATCTGTCCATCATAAAAGTGCGTCTATCCATCATAAAAGTCCATCTGTCCATCATAAAAGTGCGTCTGTCCATCATAAAAGTGCATCTGTCCATCATAAAAGTGCATCTGTCATCATAAAAGTGCGTCTGTCCATCATAAAAGTGCGTCTGTCCATCATAAAAGTGCGTCTATCCATCATAAAAGTCCATCTGTCCATCATAAAAGTGCGTCTATCCATCATAAAAGTGCGTCTGTCCATCAAAAAAGTGCATCTGTCCATCATAAAAGTCCATCTGTCCATCATAAAAGTGCGTCTATCCATCATAAAAGTCCATCTGTCCATCATAAAAGTGCATCTGTCATCATAAAAGTTCATCTGTCCATCATAAAAGTGCGTCTATCCATCATAAAAGTGCATCTCTCCATCATAAAAGTTCATCTGTCCATCATAAAAGTGCGTCTATCCATCATAAAAGTCCATCTGTCCATCATAAAAGTGCGTCTATCCATCATAAAAGTGCATCTGTCCATCATAAAAGTGCATCTGTCATCATAAAAGTGCGTCTGTCCATCATAAAAGTGCGTCTGTCCATCATAAAAGTGCGTCTATCCATCATAAAAGTCCATCTGTCCATCATAAAAGTGCGTCTATCCATCATAAAAGTCCATCTGTCCATCATAAAAGTGCATCTGTCCATCATAAAAGTGCGTCTATCCATCATAAAAGTCCATCTGTCCATCATAAAAGTGCGTCTATCCATCATAAAAGTTCGTCTGTCCATCATAAAAGTGCGTCTGTCCATCATAAAAGTGCATCTGTCCATCATAAAAGTGCATCTATCCATCATAAAAGTGCATCTGTCCATCATAAAAGTGCATTTGTCCATCATAAAAGTGCATCTATCCATCATAAAAGTGCATCTATCCATCATAAAAGTGCGTCTATCCATCATAAAAGTGCGTCTGTCCATCATAAAAGTGCGTCTGTCCATCATAAAAGTGCATCTGTCCATCATAAAAGTGCATCTATCCATCATAAAAGTGCATCTGTCCATCATAAAAGTGCATCTATCCATCATAAAAGTGCGTCTATCCATCATAAAAGTGCATCTGTCCATCATAAAAGTGCATCTGTCCATCATAAAAGTGCATCTGTCCATCATAAAAGTGCGTCTATCCATCATAAAAGTGCATCTGTCCATCATAAAAGTGCATCTATCCATCATAAAAGTGCGTCTATCCATCATAAAAGTGCATCTGTCCATCATAAAAGTGCATCTGTCCATCATAAAAGTGCATCTGTCCATCATAAAAGTGCATCTATCCATCATAAAAGTGCATCTATCCATCATAAAAGTGCATCTGTCCATCATAAAAGTGCATCTGTCCATCATAAAAGTGCATCTGTCCATCATAAAAGTGCATCTATCCATCATAAAAGTGCGTCTGTCCATCATAAAAGTGCATCTGTCCATCATGAAAGTGCATCTATCCATCATAAAAGTGCATCTGTCATCATAAAAGTGCGTCTATCCATCATAAAAGTGCATCTATCCATCATAAATATATATGCAAAGCAGATGTAGTCATGTGACAGTGTGGTCTCCCTCCAGCACGGCGATCTCACCGTTACCGTCGGCAACACCACAGATCTCGGCGTGAGCATCGGAGACACCGGAGACACGGATCCGGGCACAGGGGGCGGAGCTAAACCGCAGGGGACGTGACCTCTGACCCCGTGACATATGACCCCGTGTTTCCCTGTTCAGAGGAAATGCAACAGACGGAAAGGACAGAAACTATCACTCCTTTTCTCGTTTATACCGATGTTGTTTTTTAGCTCATTTAGGATTCATTAACTCGACGTTCATTAGAATAACGCACTGAAGGATAAACGCCTCTGCTCTTCATCTTTTGGGATAGTTGTACACTCGAAAATATGCTGGGTTGTTTCAACACAAATTTGGGTCAAATATGGACAAACCCAAATGTTGGGTTAAAATGTAATTAAAAAATGTACAGGGTTCAAATTTTAGATTACATTTTTAACCCAACATTTGGGTTTGTCCATATTTGACCCAATTTTTTTGTTGGGTCAAATATGGTCAACCAGTGGATTTCTGAATCGCGATTCTATGAATATGCAAATGAGCCCCGCCCCCACTCGCCCACTCACTCAGCTCAGAGATCCACTGGTTGGGGCTCATTTGCATATTCATAAAACCGCGCATACTAAATGAGGCAAGGGTGTCGAGTTACATTCATTCATTTTAAGGCATAAAGACATTTTATTTCAAGGAAAAAAATGTAAATACATAATGTTTGGGTTTGTCCATATTTGACCCATTTTTGGGTTAAAACAACCCAATGCTTTTCATTAAAAATTATTTAATGCTTTAATGAAAAAGTCCCCAAATGAAAGAGCTTCACCCGTCATATATGAGAAACAGGACGCTCTTCAAGCCTTGTGATCATCAGATCTCTCCAGTGTTTGCTGATGATTTGGTTTATACATCAAATCTTTAACTCTCTAATCTGTTTTATCTCATGAAGTAAAGCAACACCCAAGTCACCTTTCACCACTAAATTAAAAGAAAAAATACATTTTGCATAAAGAAGATGAAGCTTATTTTATAAACTGGGAAGATTACAGCACATTTCCCATCAGATTAATAAACCTAACATTAAAAAATCAGACATGAAAATGAAATATGCTTATTATAAGACTTTACAAACTCACTTTACAATTTGACTAATCTTTTTTTTTATTAAACATGTTTAATTGTCACAGATCCAGTAATGCATGAATTCCATGAAATCAGCTTTCTTTATGCAAAATGTAATTTCTCAATTTTTCTTTTCGAGGTGAAATATGAGCAAAGCTGAACTTGAGTCTGTGATTTGTGATCTTCTGAAAGCTCTTCAGCGTTTCCCACGTCACACAGGGATGATTGACAGGTGTCACTTTACACGTCAAACTGTCATTTCTGTGTTCAGAGTGATTCCAAGTCGATCATGTCTGGATGAGAGAGTGAATATGTGAGGGTGTGTGTGTGAGAGAACTGCATGTGTTTGTGTGTGTTTTTGTTTGTGCAGTTTTTACAGATGACACTCATTAATTAGTTCACAACCGTATTAGTTTTTTTTGTCTTTTCCAGCACAAATCAAAATCGAGAGACATTTACTAAGATCTTAAGTCATCTTTTTCCAAAAAAAACCCCAACAAATAAATAAGAAAAAAAAAAAATCTGAAAAAAATCTGAAAAAAAAAAAAAAGTCATGCTTAAAACAGGAAGAATATCAGTAACACTTTCCTCAAAGCCCTTATGTATAATGCATTATAAAGATATTCATAAAATAGAATATAATGCATTCTTTCTTTTAAAATGCATTAAAATATTCACCGATTCTCAGATCCATTTGAGATGTGTTTTAATGCATTATACGTTCTAAAGGTGTATTAAACAATTATTCATGAGATCATACAGTGCATTATACGGTGCATAACAAGGAATAATTATTGGATTAAAAATACTTTTATAATGCAATATATAAAGGCTTTACGTAACTGCCGATGGGGTCGAGAAATAAACGTTACATTTTCATCATGAACTCACAGACAAAAAGTCTTAACATCTTCAGTAAATGTTTCTTGATCTAAAAATGTTCAAATCAAGACAAAATAATTTATGCAGCTCCTGAACTCCCAGAATGCATCAGAACATGCTCAACACACTTGCATTTAATTCAGTGTTGGACAATATTGATAAAACGTTTATTCTGAGCGATGCATCGTTTTCCCCATATTTGTGTGTTGTCATTTTAATTCAAATGCAGTGTTAATAAAGTGCGCTTCGTGTGTATTGGACACACTGAAGCGCTTCCGAACGGTTGGATGCAGACGTGTTGTGTTTGTGTGAATCTGGATCTGTGTTTATTCATCATAACATGTAGCATATTCTTTAGTTGATAACAATAATCCATATCAGCTGTTCATAGATCCACTTTCTTCTGTATATAAATTGGATGGAGTTTGTATTCGGTTCATGTTTTTTTTTATTCTATTGTCTGATCACGTTTAATCACCTATTCAATAGTTTTGCAGAACTGACATGGAAACGTGCGTTTCACACAATAACAACATGAGCGTGTGTGTGATTATGAATCTGAGGTCAAACCTTGATGTTTTTATGGCTTCAATTCTCGTTTGTTGATGTGTTTTGTTCTTTATTAAACTTGAAACAAACCAACAATAAAAACTGATTGGATCAGAACTGCTGTCATTTCAGATGTTTTGTTTAAAGTGGTGAAAATCAAGCTTTTAAAGGAGTAGTTCACTTTTAAAAAAACTTTTGCTGATGATTTACTCGCCCCCATGTCATCCAAGATGTCCATGTCTTTCTTTCTTCAGTCGGTTTTTGATGAAAACATTCCAGGATTTTCTCCATATAATGGACTTCAATGGGGTCCAAACGGTTCAAGGTCCAAATGAGAGTTTCAGTGCAGCTTCAAAAGGCTTTAAACGACACCAGACGATGAATAAGGGTCTTATCAAGCGAAACGATCGCTCATTTAAAAAATAAATAAAAGTTTTATAAGCACAAATGCTCGCCTTGCTCTGTTCTGTGATGCGCGTTCGTGACTCCTGTTGAAATCTTTTTTCGTGTCATTTGGTTGATTCGACGAACGAAATGAATGAATTTACTCGGAAAAAGATGTTGTATTTTCAAAGACTGAAGTTGCAAAAAACAAGTCATTGGGTTTCTCTTTAGACATTTACATTTAGAGAACATATTAATATTGTTGTGTCCCCTTCAATTTATTACTTGGTATTAAAAAGTCTTGACATTACCTCAGTAAGAAACCCTGTTCTAATGCTGAGCCTTTTTTATATTATCAATGTTGAAAACAGTTGTGCTGCTCAGAGTTATGAACAAAGATCTTCTAGGAATATTAACAGAATGTTCGTTCTAAGTTATCCGTTTTTAATAATTATTTTAGTTAATTATTTCGTTCCTACTTTCGTTCATGGAATTTTTTCTCCCTGAAAAGTTTCGAGTTCGATCGTCTTGGCCAGTGTTGGGTGTAACTAATTACTAAGTAATTAGTTACTGTAATTTAATTACTTTTCCCTTGAAAATGTAAAGTAAGGGATTACTCTTCATTTATCTGTAATTTAATTAGTTGTAATTGAGGTAAATACTGCGTATAGATCAATCCGATCTCACAGCGATTCGAGGTGTCTAAATACTACGACCGCACTCGTACAAATTCGTATGAATTATTGTAAAATATGTATGAAAAAAGTGTGAAATGTCATGAGATCAGACATAAAACAATAGTGGGTTTAACATCAAAATATATTGTCTGATGCTAAAAAGTATGTTTTTATAATGTAACCTTCTCCACCTTGGTCTGTTTAAGGATAATTCATGCAATTTTATAGTATTTATGTGAAAGAATTAAAACAGATTCATGTCTATCCTTGTATTATTCAGCTGGTTGAGATTGATATGGGATTTTGAAAGTAATTAAAAGTAATTAAATACTTTTTTAGAGAGAGTAATTAGTACAGTAATCTAATTACACTGTTGAAGAGGTAATTAGTAACTAGTAATTATTTACTTTTTTTGAGTAACTTACCCAACACTGGTCTTGACGTTATTTTTAAATGTTGCTACTTGTTTTAGAACATTCAGAGAACATTCAAAAGTAACGTTCCCGTAATATTTGAAAGTTCTAAAATGGAATGTTCGTAGGCTATTGCCAATGTAGGGGTAAAAGCATCGATGGGTTGACGGAGGTATCGATGGTTAATTTATTCGAGTCTTTCATGTGTTTTCAAAGACAGATAAAGATCAGCCGTTACCCGCAGATTCAGAAACTCAGCGCTGCTCTACGCTAATGAGCATCTTTCGAAGTTTGCGTTGCCGTGGTTACCGCCGCACACATCAAAGCATTCCGTTGAGCAAACGCAATAGTTAAACATGCTCTTTGTAATTCCGGGAAAACTAAACTAGCCGACATCATTCAGCGTTTGAAATCCTAACGAGGCGATCTGAGAGACATCTGTTTGAGTTCCCAGTCTGACACAGTCCAATTCAAACCCGTAACAAGATCACAGACACCCTCACAACAGCTCCAGCGCATTTAAGTTAAATCAGAATTCATTTCTAGTCCATTACCGCCATTAGACCACAGGAACATCAGCCAAAAAACATCCCGCATCTACATTGGTAACGTTATAGATTAGTTTGAAAAATCGCAACGCATCACTTTTTAATTTAATGAATTTAATGATTCATTATGCTTTTATTTCTTATAGGTGCCCATTTCTTTAACAACCCAAAAAATCCAGATTCATAATAAAAAAATCCAGATTTTCATTAGTAATCAAAACTGATTATGAGGATTGTATGAATTAAATCAATGTCAGAGCAAATATTTCCACCCTTATTAAAAATGCAGAATGACATCATGATTTCATGAAGTCTGCATGAAGCAAAAGTCAAGCTAGTGTTTTCCCACAAATGTAGGCGGGGCTTGATTTTGTCCTGGGGAATTGATTGGAATGGTTGTGGTTTGCTATTGGTGGATAGTTAAGTTTAGCAAGCTTTATTACATGAGGTTGTCAATCAGAAGTTACTTTTGAGATTTTTTTTAACAATCTTTGGAAATTTTGATATTATCATAGCAATTTCGACAACTTTACCTAACCTAAAATAATGTTTTAAAGTAAGATGCACGTTCCACAAAACCACATTGTAGATACAGTGATGTAATCAGTTTATTCTTCAGTCATCTGTGCGATGGTAACCGGGTAAGAGGTCACTGGGCCGTGACGCGATGATGTCATCAGCGCGGCAGAGCAAAGGTCAGGGATTTGATTGGACGAGGCAAAGAAACGTTCGTGATATCTTCGGATGAATCATTCGTCTTCCAGATTCACTGTGTTGCAACACTATAAATATCTCTCCCTGCTGAACCCGTGCCCCGGCGTTCCCTTTGGAGCCCGACGCCAAGAATAATAAACAGCCGATTTCACAACACAAGAGATATGAGGGTTCATGACCCCACTGACAAATCATTGTACCACAAAAAAGAAACTGTATATAAAATAAAAACAGAATAAAACATGTGGGTGAATCTTTATGATTTATTATATTATTTATGAGAAAGATACCGTTTTTCTTGACCGTTTTATCTCACACTGAAATAGGTCAAATAAACCCTGGGTAAGTTTTTGTGAGATCATGATCTGTTTTAATAATGTAAACTAATATAAATGTACTTCCAAACACACACAGACGTGATCAGGACACACCCATCAAACGTCCAGAGTCCAGATTTATTGAGATTTCACCAACTGACCAGAGATAAACCTGCTGGAGATCACACACACACACACACACACACAGCAAAACTCCATGTAAAAAAGAAAGACGGATACATTCTTTCTAGGAATGCATATCAATGTTTAGGTCGACAGCAGTGCCATACTTATAATAAAATAAATAAAATCAGGCATCTGTCTAATATCATTCTAACACCGATTCTGGCAATAAACTGCACAGATGTAATATTTATCATGTTATGATTGATAATTTTATAACCTAGCAGAGAACAAAATATAATGCTAGAATTAGAAAAAAAATCTGCTTATTATATAACTTTGGCTAATGTTCTGTAAATAATTACAAACAAACGTTTTAACAGAATTTTTTGCTCCAAGTTATTATAATGTTCTAAAAACGCCAGCACAAAAACATTATTTATGGAACTTTATCAGTTTGTCTAACGTTTTTTAAATGTTACTTCGGAATGTTTCGGAATGTTCTGAGAACCTTCAAAAGTAACATTCTCATGATCTTTGAAGAATGATAAAATGGAATGGTCGTCTAACCAAGAGAAAACACGTTTCAAAAAATCATTTAAAATCGTGATGTTTTGAACAGCCAGAGGACATTCTGTTAGCAGAGCGGAATTTAAAAAAAGACACTAAGATTGGCATATACTGATGCTTTTACTCATACTGTAAGTTGAGGTCTCGCTGCACGATCCTGCAAAGAGGACGCATGAACTGTCCGTGACTCTAATTCTTCTTCTTGCCGTTGCTGGATTGTCCCTGAAGAACGCTCTTCACGAAGAAGGCTTGATCCGTGTAGCAGCGTACGGCGAGCAGGACGGGCACCGCGGCGTACAGAAGGTTCAGCGCGACCACCAGACGCCACTCGTCCCGAGGGATCCGGTACGTGAACGGTGTGCGCGAGTGAACAGAGGATCCCAGGTGAGTCCACTGGGTCTGTGGAGAGGTCACACACACACACACACAGATCATTTCTGTTCTACACTCTTAAAAGTAATTCCAGCAGGGTTTTTTTGCAGCAGTGTTTACCTGAGCTACAGCTCCTGCGAGGAACAGCGTCCAGTCCAACATCCATGTGCATCCCGGAGTGTAAAGCCCATAAACACTCGCTGTCAAGAGCGGCAACACATAGAACAGGAACACCAGCATCTGCCAGAACACGAAACCCGTCAGTCCGTCATATTTACATCACCACCAGCTGGTAATATCTCAAATCACTCAAACACTATGCTTAATCTACCCGGGGGAATTTTCAAAGTCTGAATATTAATTATTATAATCAGTACGTTTTAATATTATTTTTTTTACACTTATTTTACAAAATATTTCTATAATGATAAAATATTACACTATATTTAAAATAAGATTCACAAAAATATTTGAAAATATTATGATTCTATCCATACTATATAGTATTAGTGAATCTCAAATCCTAAAAATAATAAGCTAAATATTTGCAGGTGAATTTTATTTTAAAGAGCATGCATTATGAATATTAATTATTATAATCATTATGTAAATCATTATATTTATAAAATTGTATTTGTATAAAATTATATATAGGCATTTAAATGAGCATTTTATAAAAATTTAACACTTATTTTACAAAATATTTCGATAATGATAAAATATTACACTACTTAAAATGATAGATAATCAAAAATTTTTTTGAAAAAGTTATGATTATATACGTACTATATAGTATTAGTGAATCTGAAATCATAAAAATAGTAAGCTAAATATTTGCAGATGAATTTTATTTTAAAGAGCATGCATTATGAATATTAATTATTATAATCATTATGTAAATCATTATATTTATTAAATTGTATTCGTATAAAATTATATATAGGCATTTAAATGAGCATTTTATAAAAATTTAACTCTTTATTTTACAAAATATTTCTATAATGATAAAATATTACACTACTTAAAATGATAGATAATCAAAAAAAATTTTGAAAAAGTTATGATTATATACGTACTATAGTATTAGTGAATCTGAAATCATAAAAATAGTAAGCTAAATATTTGCAGGTGAATTTTATTTTAAAGAGCATGCATTATGAATATTAATTATTATAATCATTATGTAAATCCTTATTTATTAAATTATATTCGTATAAAATTATATATATAGGCATTTAAATGAGCATTTTATAAATATTTAACACTTATTTTACAAAATATTTCTATAATGATAAAATATTACACTACTTAAAATGATAGATAATCAAAAAAAATTGAAAAAGTTATGATTGTATAGGTACTATATAGTATTAGTGAATCTGAAATCATAAAAATAGTAAGCTAAATATTTGCAGGTGAATTTTATTTTGAAGAGCATGCATTATGAATATTAATTATTATAATCATTATGTAAATCCTTATTTATTAAATTATATTCGTATAAAATTATATATAGGCATTTAAATGAGCATTTTATAAATATTTAACACTTATTTTACAAAATATTTCTATAATGATAAAATATTACACTACTTAAAATGATAGATAATCAAAAAAAATTTGAAAAAGTTATGATTATATACGTACTAGTATTGGTGAATCTGAAATCATAAAAATAGTAAGCTAAATATTTGCAGGTGAATTTTATTTTAAAGAGCATGCATTATGAATATGAATTATTATAATCATTATGTAAATCATTATATTTATTAAATTGTATTCGTACAAAATTATATATAGGCATTTAAATGAGCATTTTATAAATATTTAACACTTATTTTACAAAATATTTCTATAATGATAAAATATTATACTACTTAAAATGATAGATAATCAAAAAAAAAATTGAAAAAGTTATGATTATATACGTATTATATAGTATTAGTGAATCTGAAATCATAAAAATAGTAAGCTTAATATTTGCAGGTGAATTTTATTTTAAAGAGCATGCATTATGAATATTAATTATTATAATCATTATGTAAATCCTTATTTATTAAATTATATTCGTATAAAATTATATATATAGGCATTTAAATGAGCATTTTATAAATATTTAACACTTATTTTACAAAATATTTCTATAATGATAAAATATTACACTACTTAAAATGATAGATAATCAAAAAAAATTGAAAAAGTTATGATTATATAGGTACTATATAGTATTAGTGAATCTGAAATCATAAAAATAGTAAGCTAAATATTTGCAGGTGAATTTTATTTTGAAGAGCATGCATTATGAATATTAATTATTATAATCATTATGTAAATCCTTATTTATTAAATTATATTAATATTAAAATTATATATATATAGTATTTTATACATAGGCATTTAAATTAGCATTTTCTAAATATATAACACTTATTTTACAAAATATTTCTATAATATTTATATAAAATCGTGTAAATATTGTAATATTTCTAAACTATTACACTATTTAAAATGATGGATTATCAAAAAAATTTAAAAAGTTATGATTATATACGTACTATATAGTATTAGTTCATCTCAAATCACAAAAAAACTACGCTAAATCTACGCAGATCAAATTTCAATAGTCCAATATGAATTACTCGAATCTCTAATTAAATAATTTATGAAATCATCAATTATAAATCTATAACATAAGACTATATAAACAAGCATTTGCTAAATATTTAACACTATTTTTACAAAATATTTATATAGTGATAAAATATTACACTATTTATGATTCGCAAAAATATCTAAAAAATGGAAATGTTATGATTCTATCCATACTATATACTATTATTGCATCTCAAATCGTAAAGATCGTAATCGAAATTGTGAATTTTCACGGTGTGTTTCCTAAAGCCGCTGAACTCACCATGACTTTTGGGAAGCCGACGCTGTCTTTCATGTACGGCTCGTACTGGTAGATGTAGGAGAAACAAGAATCCAGAGAACATTCAAGAACAACCTGTGGAAGATAAAAAGAAAGGAGAATGGTGAGCGATGGACGACATGGATGGATAAACGGATGGATGTGCAGATACTCACAAACCCTCTGAAGACAGTGAAGATGATGGTGGCGAAGAGGCCGAGTGTGAGGATCAGGTCTATCGGCCGTGAAAACAGCGTTCGCTTCTGATCCACCTCCACCTACGGGTCACGGGACACTCAATTAACGCTTTTAAATTAGTGCTGGATTATTGAGTATGAATATTTACAAGCCAAAACAAGTGATTCAAGATAAAAGTCCATTTGACGGTTTATCCTCGGTTTGATCAGTAGATCTTACACAACTGAATCAATACTGTGAGTCCAGCTGACGTGATGTGAATGCATATTACAACTGTCACACACACAATCCTTACTTGCCATTCACTTTTTTGCTCGGCGTTCACTGTGGCGAGTGATTTTTCGAAGTTATGAGCCACTGGCCACAATTTAGACATTGATGCCATAGTAGAAAACTGCCATATAGACATTTGTAATAGTTGGGGGTCTTAAGGACATTTTCGCCAAATTTGGCACAGATGCAGCTCAGGTCATACCGAAATGATTTAGCTAGGGCGCCGGAGCCAGCGACCCCTTGGTGGCCAAGATGGCGGCCAAATCCAATATGGCCGCTGCCCGAAAACGGTTCCGGCTATAACTTTTAAACCACATGAGTTACAAATACAAACTTGATATGTTTTTCAGCTTAATTAATCATGGGAAACACATAGGAATGTTTATATTTATGACCCAGTATATCTGGACCCCTTGATCCTCCAATTCCAATATGGCCGCTGCCCAAAAAAGCAGTTTGGGCTGTAGTATGGGGCCTTACACGCCATTATTCACGTAAATTCATCTACAAGCACCAAATATGGCACAGATGCAGCTCAGCTTATACTGAAATGATTTAGCTAGGGCACCGGAGCCAGCGACCCCTTGGTGGCCAAGATGGCGGCCAAATCCAACATGGCCGCTGCCCGAAAACGGTTCCGGCTATAACTTTTAAACCACATGAGTTACAAATACAAACTTGATATGTTTTTCAGCTTAATTAATCATGGGAAACACATATGAATGTTTATATTTATGACCCAGTATATCTGGACCCCTTGATCCTCCAATTCCAATATGGCCGCTGCCCAAAAAAGCAGTTTGGGCTGTAGTATGGGGCCTTACACGCCATTATTCACGCAAATTCATC